AAGATTCCCCAATTTTTGCCAGTTCCTCCATTAGAAGGTCTTTAAATGATTGATTGCTACGCGCAGCTATGTCCCTGAGCTCTGACAGATAGGCATCAGTGGCAGATGTGCTAGTTTCTAGACTGTACGCGCTGGCTAGGTCTTGAATATGAAAGAAAACATCTGGGTTCCTAGTACAAGGTTTGTCATAGGGTAAACATTGTTTCTTTAATTCCTTAACAGTGGCTTCATGTTGAAACTCCACAATAATCTGATCACAGTTTGGTAACTTAATGCGCCTGTTAACTGGTCCGAATCCTTCCATAAACCCAAAGACTTCGTTATCAAGGTCTGTATCAGTTAACCCACTGATTAAAACAGCATTTGAAACTTTGACCTTTTCTGTTTTCACAACTTCCATTTTAAAACACTCAAAAGTACCAATAATGCCAAAATGGCAAACCACTGTGACCTCCAGGCACTCTTATGATGTCAGTCAATGGTTAGCTAAGGTAACAACTCTACAATTCTCCTGGCTGGCTCGCCAAGTTTTATGTAACCGGATTACAGGATACAATAAGATAATTAAAAGAAAAAATAAACAAATGGGCCAATAATTAGGTTCGGGGAGAATTGGAGGTTGTTTAAGAATGACTGGAGTCACGGGTATAGCATGAAACGGTTTATATACTAAATTTTAATAATAATGGGAAAGATAACACACAAAAACAGATGAAAACAATCGACAATAGTAAAATGCTCGGTATGAGATTTGATCATATGAGTCACAAGTCAGCCAGCGTCAAGTCAAATCCCCACGCTTGGGGTGAAAGTCAGAGTCCGGTGGTGCGATTTTTTCCTACCGCACCGTTGAGATTGTTCACAGAAGAGAGCAGTCTGCTCTTCAGTTACTTGAGATGTCCTGGTTCGTTCAGTGGTTAAGGCTCGCCATCTCCCTCGTCAGGAAGAAATCCAGTTCTCGTTCCAAGTGAGTGATCATAGGAGTCGGGATCAAACCCAAGGAAAAAAAAAAAACCCAGCCTGTAAACAACAGGACTGTTAGCGAGTTGGCATCGACCCTTCTCGTCACATCACAGCATAAAGTCTTACAGACTTAAACAAATGCTTCACTCTATTGGCATAGCCAATCATGTTTGGGTTCACAGTTCAACTAACATAACATCAATTTGATTGTCTATTAAAATAATTCTCAGTAGCTCTGGAAATATAATTACATATGACAACAATTGTTCAGCTCAATAGGCTCAGTTAGATTCTATTACTCTACACTATTCAACAAGAAATACATTCATGACAACAAGGATACATTTAGTTGTGTTTCTATACAGCATTGTGACACCTTGTATATCTGTAACACAATAAATAAATAAATAAATAAATAAATAAATAAATAAAATGTTCTATAACAAAACTCAACAAAATATAAATTCTGGTCCTTTGGTCCACCTTTGTAAAATAATTCCTCCCTAATCAGTTAGCTTTTATTTATTTTTATTTATCTATTTTTTTTTTATTATTAAATGTTTGGTTAAGGGACGCATTGCTAATTCTATGGCGTTAGCTATAACGCCCCTGAGGACCTTGTACATCTAGGCCGTACCACCATTAACTGGCGGTTTGAGCCGTTAACTCCTGGGAATCCCATATGCCCTACCGCCGTTAACTGGCGGTTTGAGCCGTTAACTCCTATATGCCCTACCACCGTTAACTGGTAGTTTGAGATGTTAACTCCTGGGATCTAACGTCTAGCAGCCCACTGCTGTCACCTCGGTTGCTGTAATTAGCTTTTTGAATTTAATAATTTACTGAATTTAATCTCATTCACTCACCAACGCGCTCCAACGGTTCCCTCCTACAGAGGATTGGTTCACTCTGTCGTCTCCACACAAATCTATAAGAATGGAATTAATTTGATAAGCTATTTAAGTTTCCCTTTTTTTTTTAAGTTGCATCGTTAGCTTTTTCTCTTCTTTTTTCTTTACTCACCGCGTTGGTTCCAAGTTCCTAGCTCTTATTAGAAGGAGTCAAGTCCGCCTCTCCCTCTATCTATGCGGCACCCAAATCAGGGTTCTTCACGGCCTCGACCGTTGTTTTTTTTTTCTCTCTCTCTCTCTCTCTAACCGCTCAGTCTTTGCTTTCTGTATCTGCGTGCTGCACAGCCGTTTGTCTCTCCTCTCGCTCAGCTGCGTCGCACGGTTTTATTTCGCGGAGGCGGGACTTATTTCTCTCAGCCAATGAAATTTCAGATTCCCACCTGGACCAATAGTATACAGCTTTCCTCTTCTGTTTCTGTTAGGGATGTTCAAGATTCTTGTTTTAACCGATGTTTAATATTAAACTCGTTATTTTAGTTATTCACCCTTCCAATAATTCATTATGAAATTATCTATTAGTTAATTAGATATCTATTAATTAGTATTGTTAATTTCCTTAATTTATATTTTATATTTTATCTAAATTGAGGATGGATCATATTAGTAAGCCAATTAGTTAATACCTCATTAAGGTTCTAGCTTCTGGGTTACATCTTCTTTTCTCATGTTATAATTTTAATTACTTATTATTATTTTTCACATGTTCAGAGTTTTCTGATTAGACTTTTGTTTACAGTTTACTGATCAGTTATTGTTGTTGTTGTTTTGCACCCCCTCCCCTCCACCGCTCTCCTCCTGGCTTGTGTCCAGGTCACTCCCCATCCCAGCAATGCCACACCCTCCTGCTCCGCAGGCCCAACGGACACTCACACACCCCCACCAAAGTCCTCCCCTTACATCTGCATCTGCCTCCCCCTCCTCCCCTTCATGCCAACACTCAGTCCCTCCCTCGTTTCTCCTCATTTGGGTATGTTCCACTCCCCATCTCTCCTCCGTCTCTGTCTACTCCTCCTCTGTCCACTTCTCCTCCTCTCTCCACTTCTCAGGAGCAGCAGAGTCAGACAGGTACATACTGTAGATCACAGATAAGCATCCTTTGTTTCACGCTTTTTGACGGGACAGCACGTCACCTGCAGAGATTCAGTAAAGTATCACTTCACCCAGATGACGAAAGCAAAAAATCAATCCAGAGCAGATCAGTGTTCTTGTTGCCACTGATTTTGGGTTTAAACCTAATTTATGCCAAATAGCAAAACGGTGGAGGGTACACCCACATCCTTCACAATTGTAATGCTCAATATAATGTTGTCGTTTCATGGCAATCAATTCCACTCTGGTGTGCTCAAATCTATTGTCTTTAATCTGAGTGAATTGACCCTTTAGCTGAAATATTCTGTCAACAAGCCAGTTTTTATTTCTTGTCGTGATGAGCGTATTGTAGAGAAATCAGGGACGTTATTTACTGTCAGCAAGCCAGCCTTTTTGATTTAGGCACTAATCGACTTTGTGTAAACTCCATGAGTTTGTGGTTGTCTTGAATAATATTTAACTGCTTAACATTTCAGTTTTTTGATAAACAGCAGAAAACAAAAGGTATAAAAGTAGAATAAAATCAGCTACGAGCATCATTATTTTTATTTTTCTGCGTCTGCACATCTCCACCATGGCTACACAAGAAAACTGATTATTTTGGTTTGAATCAGAGATCAATTTTAATAAGGTAACATTGCTGATAAAACTATAGAGTTTCAGTTCATCCCAAAATAATCCCATGAACAGAATCCGACTGGCTCTGGAAAAAAATTCTAACAGCAGAACATTCCTCCTCTGGAGTTAATGTTGCAACGTTCTCCGGTCTCAGGAAAACATTCTCAAATTTAAGACCCAAACAGCCTCAGATGTCATGAAAATCAATTCAGGATAGGGCTGGGCAATAAATTGAAAATTTATCGTTATCGAAATATCGATAATTTTTCTCATGTCAGTAACTTTGAAAATAAAAAATGAAAAGATGTGTGTAGGTTGGCAATGTCTCATTAAGAAGCTGTAAAAATGTGACTCAACGTAATGCATGTGACAGCCCCATCTAGTGGACAACTTTTGTTCCTGCGCATACCCGTAGTTATCGTCCATTTATCGTTATCGAGGTGATTTTAGGCCATATCGCCCAGCCCTAATTCAGGGTGAGGAAAAACATCATTCAATAAAATGGTCTCAAAAAGAACATGATGCTGAAGTTAGCCTCAGATTCAGTGTTTGGTTAAAAGGGAATTCAAATGAATTTTACCATCTTTAATCAGCATTAGTCAAAAAATGGTATTATGTAGACCTGGACCAGACTATTGATTAAAACTTCCTTCTAGGAACTTTACTCTGATGTCTATATGTTCAACTAAATGGCTCAAAACTGTTAGTCTTCTGTTCCTTTTAGGCCTAAATGTTGTGTGGGTATTGAAATGTGTTATTCTTATAAAGTGGACATATTGTGCAAAACTCACCTTTTTACATCTTTTTGTGCAGCCATGTGGGTCTCTACTGCATCTATAAACACTCCCAATGTAGAAAAAAGCAACAATCTGTTTTCTGTCAGGTTCGGTTTTAGGAATTTTGTGCCTAAAACAACCTATTTCAAAAAGTCCCTTTTTGTGACATCAAAATGGGGAAATTAGAACAGAGCCAACTCTCACATGTGAGAGCTGCTGCTGCTGGAGGAGCAGAGGCCCCGAGCCCCTCAGAGATACCAGAGCTTCTCACCTTATAGCAGCCTGAGTGGGGGATGGGTGGGCGTGGCCAGCAACAAATTGTTTTCTTAAAGTGACATAAACGTGTTTTGTATCAACTATTTAACTATTATAACTTGAATTTAGTTGGTAGTGTTTTTTTTTATATACACTACACATGTTTGGATGTGAAGGTGAGTGAGTGTTTGGTAGTGTTCACTAAACACATTTATATTGTGTTTACACATACTACGTTTAGATAGCAAAATAGTGACTTATTACAACTATGTTCAAAAATACTTCAAATGACATGGTGTGTGTGTGTGTGTGTGTGTGTGTGTGTGTGTGTGTGTGTGTGTGTGTGTGTGTGTGTGTGTGTGTGTGTGTGTGTGTGTCCATGGGACAGGTTCTCGGTCAGCAGATATGAGTCCTCAAGGCTCTCCCACTTTGGGACATCAAAGCAGCATTAGTGAGGACATCTGGGTTCTGCGCAAACCGATGTCAGGTAAACTTACTTGTGAATGGCTTTAGGGGAAACAGTTTGGGTTCTTGTACTGCTCTGTGAGTAAGGTGTGTGTGTGTGTGTGTGTGTGTGTGTGTGTGTGTGTGTGTGTGTGTGTGTGTGTGTGTGTGTGTGTGTGTGTGTGTGTGTGTGTGTGTGTGTGTGTGTGTGTGTGTGTAGGCGGGGAGCGCAGTGGCAGTGTGGGCAGCCTGGGCAGTGCCCGGTCATCAAGCAGCCTGCAGAGCTCCGGAAACACACACGTCCTGACCACACCAGCACCCAGTCCTCTCCCAGCGCCCACACCTGGCGTTAACACCCATGGCCTTAATGCTCCAGGTCTGCACGCACAGTCAGAAGGGGTCAAGGTGAGAGAGCTCCTGTACACAAGTTTACGTACACAGGGTTGTATCTTGTTTTTGATTTAAAAAAATCAACAAGGCCGTCATTTCCAGGAAAACGCCAAAACATTTTCAGGAAACAAACATGTTTTACTTGTTAACCACAATTCTGTTTCCTGCTGTTTTTTTCCTTCACTGACAACACAGCAAACCCTATTACAGAAGCCTTTGAGCTGTATACATTTTTCTCATTGAAAACAAAAGTCTGCAGGCACGAGCAAAGCTTTATCCGACTCACATTAGTCGTCTTGTTTCTTCGTGTCTTGAAATCGTTTTAAAACTGCAACAATGTTTCATTAGCAGTAGAACGTGTTAAAAGATTAAAATAACACTAATTGAAATGCATTTTCCTTTGTGGAAAAGTCTCACCACTGAATTATTCAACCCATAAATTTGAATTTAGAATGGTGTGAGCTACGCTGAATATAATTGTAATTTGTGTGATTTTGTGTTAAGTTTAGCGTTGCATATTTGGAGCCTAATTCTAAGGCTTGCCACACTTAGTCATCCACATTAGACATGTAATAAATGGAGTTTCATAACAGACAAGTTGAGGTTTTAATTCAAATACTCAAATATGAAGCCCGCATATTCAGAAAGTGATTTGAAAACATTCTGGCAGCAAAGAGGAGTATATTTCTGAGAAATGAGATGTTGAATTAAGTTCACCAAGTCATGTCAACTGGTTCCACCGAACCTAGTTGCTTAAATGTAAAGATTAATATACATTATGTTAAAGGTGCAATTTGTAAAAATGTTACTACTGAATGTTGGAACAAAGTGTATACTGAAGCAGATTTCATTCTCAGCTGGCTGAGGGGTTGAAACCAACAAGCAAAAACCTCCAGAGCTGTTTAAAGAACTGAAAATAGTACACCAGAGCGACAGGAGTTATGTCTTGTGCTCCTAAGAAGCAATGGCATCCTTTTGTTGTAGTCTAATATCATGTAAAGCATTATTTGGTTCATTTTTTACACAGGAAAGTGTTGTTTTACCTTTTTTTGCTGACAGTTTCTACCACTCCTGCGGTCTTCTTCAGAGCTAGCCACTGATGGCCACGTCACTTCCTTCTCCATGTATCTGCGGGCAGCAGAGGACGGTGTCGCCCTCTACTGCCCGCACTCTCCTGATGACAAAGTCCGATGCGTGATCCAATGAGTAGACCCCAACGTCTCTGTTCATGGTTGTGTGTCCACGTGCAGGGGGTGACATCGTCCTTTGCTGCCTGTGGATAAACAGAGAAGGAAGTGATGCTGCCATTAGCGACTAGTTCTGAAGATGACTGCAGGAGTGGTCAAAACTATCAGCAAAAAAGAACCATATAATGCAATCAGAAGAAATACACAGAATGAATACATAAAAGAAATCATGTGAAGCAGGCAAGAGGCTAATGTTGAGCTAACAATGCTAACGGTAAGTTAGAGGCAAAAAGTCTAAAAATATCTCAATCTTCTTTTCCAATTACCAACAACTTGATATGAGAGTGAAATGTATCTGTGTAATTTTACTTCATTTAATCAGTTGTTAAGAAGTGTAGCAGCAAGCTAACAGCAAGACGGCAAACCACACTTCCTGTAATGCCGAAGGTTTATCACCGTAATAAGTGTAGTAAGTGCTCCCTACCGTAGAACACCCAAGAGTGCTAACAACAGAAATGAAAATGTATTTATCTACTTATAAACTTACTGTGGGTGACTCATCCTCATCTGTGCCCCAGACAAGCTGGTTCCCAAAGTCAGAGACTCTCTTGGTCAGCTTGCTTCTCACACCAAACCTTCCGTCAGGAATCTTGGCATGACCTTTGACCCAGCTCTCACCTTGGATTCTCGTATCAGTTATCTTGTTCGCTCTTCCTTCTTCCATCTCAGGAACATTGCTAAGCTGAGTCCCATTCTCTCCCGTTCTGAACTTGAGACAGTTCTCCACACCTTCATCTCCTCACGCTTAGACTACTGCAACTCTCTTTTCACGTGTCTGAGCAGAACCTCCCTGAACCGTCTACAGGTGGTTCAGAATGCCTGTGCTCGGCTTCTGACCAAGTCCTCCAAACACACCCACATCACCCCACTTCTCCTCCAGCTTCACTGGCTGCCAGTCAACTTCAGGGTTCATTTCAAGATCCTGGTTCTGGTCTTTAGGGCCTTACATGGACAAGCACCATCTTACATTGGTGATCTTCTTAGTCCCTACACCCCCAGCAGGTCCCTGAGGTCCAGTGATCAAAGCCTACTGGTTGTGCAGCACCAGGCTAAAGGTCAGAGGTGACAGATAATTTGCTGCTGTGGCCCCCAGACTCTGGAACTCTCTCCCCATGAGTCTGAGATCAGTGGACTCAGTGGACTCCTTTAAAAAGCAGCTGAAGACTCACTTGTTCAAGCTGGCTTTTGTATGACCTTCTTCACCACTCTCTCTTTATTCTGCTCTTATTCTGCCTTTCCCAGGATCTACTGATTTCCCTCTTTCCTATTCATTTTCTCTTTTCTCATTTGAAACATATTTTAATCATTTTTTAAATCTTTTTATACTTTAATATTTTTGTTTTTGTTTTTGTGAAGCGCCTCGTGATTTTTATCTTGAGAGGTGCTAAATAAAAGATCGTCTTCTTCTTCTTTGTCTTTGCTTGTTATCTAGAATCTTTGGTGCTGATCCGTAACTGGCAACAGCCATGAAACTCACACAACAGGAGTGAGAAAGTAATATTTTTTATTTTAAAAACGCACTACAGTAACGGTATTTGACAACAGGATGTCATTCTTATAAACTGCACCTTTAAAACTGTGTTTTACTGCCAGGTTTAGTGGAACCAGTAGACATGATTTGGTTAAGTTAATTCAACATTTAGTTTCTTGGAGTGTAGAAGTGTGTCTGACGCAGCAGGACGTGCAGTCTACTCCTTCTGTGTTCAGTTACAAATCATCTCTGAGATCTGAATGTAAGCGCTTTAGTAAATGCTTTTTATGTATTTGCTTGTGTGTGTGTGTGTGTGTGTGTGTGTGTGTGTGTGTGTGTGTGTGTGTGTGTGTGTGTGTGTGTGTGTGTGTGTGTGTGTGTGTGTGTGTGTGTGTGTGTGTGTGTGTGTGTGTGTGTGTGTGTGTGTGTGTGTGTGTGTGTGTGTGTGTGTGGTTCAGCTCCTGGCCACTGTGCTCTCTCAGTCAGCAAAAGCCAAGGAGCATCTCCTGGAGCAGTCACAGTCTGTGGAGCAGTCAGCAAGTAAGCATGAATCCATCATCCAGAGAAAACTATGTCTAATTAAAATTAATTTTGCACGTGTGTTTAAACATTCTTCATCAAGCAAGGAAAGTACAATCATTTTTTTAGTCGCCCAAAATTCCACTACTAACGTGATGAGCATTTAAAGTGATCACGGCTGTGTTCACGAGTACAACAATCCCCTCCAGGTTTAATTAGGTTACTTTGTTCCTCTGCTTCACTTTTTGCCTGCCTGGCCCTCTAAAGACCACCTGTCTCTTCACATCAGACACCAGCAGCCTTTCGCGTCTCACTTTATTTATTTTAATGTGTTCTGTTAATAAAAGCTCTTTTGCTGCGTTAAATGAGCAGAGGCAGATCCTCTTTGGGATGAATTGAGCTTTTGTCTTTATCAACAAAGTTCTTTTTTTTTTCAATGTGATTTCAAAGAAAAATATGCAGAAAAGTACAATTTGACAAGTGGCCTACAAATAGATTTTTATTATGTAAGTTTTGACTAAATTCTTAGATTATATCAATTCCCATCTCTATTTGAGAGTTTGGGATAAATGTGCAAAGCTGCAACCACAATGTGGTGCAAGGAAAATAGGGGGAGGGAGGCCCAGGACTCCGCCCAGGGGCACACCATAACCCCACTCTTAGTTCACTGCAAACATTTTGACTTTAAGTAGTCGTTCATATGGATTAAAGTTGGATTAAGTTGTCATTACGTCATGGTTTTTGTGTCTGTGTGTGTGTGTGTGGGGGGGGGGGGGGTAACATTAGTTAAAAGCTGTGTATTTTCACTTTTCTTTATGTTGTTTGTACTTCCTCTCCACTTAAAGGCTCCCCTAGTTGCACAGTTCATGAGCAGCGATCGTTTGAGCGGAAGACAGAGGAGGATGATGGGAAAGTGAGTTCATTTTGTTACTTTCTAAATCTCAGAGAGCTTTTTTTCTACATGTTTCCATGTCTCCTCTGGTCTAGAGAAAGACGTTTTACAGGAATCAGGTACAGTGGGGTGAATTCAGCTGTGTTGCACCTGGATGTTTGACACCCTTAGGCCAGGCATCATGCAGTCACAGAGTGGCAGACACATTCAGGAGTCAGCGGTGTGTCTTGCCACCTGTTCCCTCAACCCTCCCCCAGCCATCACGCCACAGTGGGACACCTACATGCTGCTGCTCTGCAGGATAAATTTAACTAAATAACATCTGTGCATTCGGGAACCATGCAGGTGCTATGTTGTAGAGTCAAGCATTCACTGGTTGCCAGGCAACAGCTGTAATCTGACAGAAAACCAGTGGAAGCTGTGTTTGAGAGCATCTTTTTTGATTAGGCGATCTGAGTTACATCAAGCAAACAGCAGCAGTTAGAAAACAAAACCAAAAAAGAAATTGTCATTTAAATGGAAATTGAATCACTTTTAGTGCAGTACAGCAGATATAATGATGTTTTTACCGTAGCTCGTCAACTTGGTGACATCTGCTGTTTAACCCTCTGGAAGAAGGCGTTGCAGATTTGCAACAGTTAAAACCTACCTACCTGGTTACTCCACATACGTATTTCATGAGTATTTCTTAACTCAGAAGTACCCCTGAAGGACTTAGTTGTTCGTCCCTTCATCAAAACTTATTTTGAGCCTGAGAGGGTTAAACGTACAGAACTGTGGATTGTGATCGGTGTACGGACAGAATGATGGGGGTCAAGACTTAAAACATCATGTCTGATCTCATGTAATGTTGCAAGGTTTCACAAGATCAAGTACACAGAGTGTGTGTTGGCCCAATCCTCACAACTGGAAAAAGTAGCTCAAAAGCTGTAGAACTGAATTATAGCTAATGATTAGTGGAGGTGGCCATCTTGAATGTGGTTGAGTCTAAAAGTGCATCAGCCGTATCCAACAAAGTCTTCCTGGGGGTTCTACAAAAATCTGCTCAGTGGTTCATGATATGTTACTGTTAACCACACACACACACACACACACACACACACACAGAGATGCGTATCTTTTATATTATGGATCTCAAGGTGATGTTACTCCTAATGTCTTGTATTATTCAAACAACGCTCTTTCACGGCTTTCACAGATGTGGACAGTTTTAGTATTCAAACGTCACTATTGCAGTGTTAGATAGGTATTTCACATACAGTTTTCTAAATTTTCATTAGTCCAGTTTAAATGTTTTATTGAAGTCTACGGTGGTTTAATAGAATAGAATAGAATAGAATAGAATAGAATAGAATAGAATAGAATAGAATGGAATAGAACTTAATCCTCCTCCATTGTGAAAATTTTCCTTTGGCTCTCAAAAACAAAACTAGAAAATAAAAGCATTCATGCATACACACACTCATGTGACACCATGTACTGTGGTTGGATTTTATCGTTTACATTTGTTAAGGATCATTACAGCACTAGGATCACATGAAATCATCTGGTCTTTAAACGAAGTAAACACCTCCTCTGATAAACGACAGAATTTGGGTCGTTGCAACGTATTGAACCATTGTTTTCAGTCATTCTGTTGTCAGTTTGCTGCTTTGTTTGGAATCGTCCTGTTTCATGACCCAGTTGCCTGTGCCGTTTACCGTATTTGGCAACCCACAATGGTGCCCTCTATTGGCTGGTGGATGTAAACATTAACCCATTCTCAAAATAAATATTTGATAGAAAATATAACTTTTAAAGGAAATACTGAACACCTCTAAACGCCCCGTGGAGGTAGTACTTTTAAAAAGATAGCTTTTTATTAAATGGTTCCACATTCAAATACACCAGAAATGAAAAAGGAAGGTCTTCACAGAGTCTATAAAAGGGTTCCAGCACTAATTTCACCTTAAACCAGTGGTTGTTTTAAAGGTTTTTATGCTTTTTTTAAAACCATCATCTCAACATCATGCGGAAGCAGACAGAAGTGTTCTGTGTGTTCTAGAAACAGGCAGTTGTGACGTGGCTGGGTGACTTTCAGCTGCAGTTCTACACCACTCACTTCCTCACCGCCGGATATGATCTGGACACCATCAGCTGCATGACCCCTGAGGTAAGGTCACAATCTGGTTCTCTAATGCTGACTGAGCTCACAAACCAGTCACCTCACTCACCTGTGAGCCTGAATCAGTCACTACACACCTGTTTTCACACTTTCACGTCACATTTTTGCACATGGCAGCGTCTGCACTGATATAGCTATGCCAGTCTTCTGTGTGTGTGTGTGTGTGTGTGTGTGTGTGTGTGTGTGTGTGTGTGTGTGTGTGTGTGTGTGTGTGTGTGTGTGTGTGTGTGTGTGTGTGTGTGTGTGTGTGTGTGTGTGCACTGAAGCAGAAACAGCACTGTGACATAAACTGGACAGGAGACTACTCATCAAGCTAAATGTTCCTGAAGGAATGCTGTGCTCTAAACACACATAAATGTTAAACTAGCATCAGTTTGTGTGACTAAGTGTGCTTTGTGCGTTCAAGGACCTGACAGCGATTGGTGTCATGAAGCCTGGCCATCGAAAGAAGTTGTTATCTGAGGTCAGCAAGCTGCCCTCAGACTGGCTTCCAGACCACAAACCTGTACGGCTCTACAGTAAACCCCTCCCAGTTACAGCAAAACAAAATATGTTCAGTTTTGGCATCTGCATCTCCTGTCTGCTGCTCTGTTACGTTTTGATGATTGTAGCTTCAGATGCATTAATATGTTTATGTGTTTTTAGGCCAACCTGGCAGAATGGCTGTCTCACCTGGGACTCAGTCAGTACTACCAGGTTTTTGTGCAGAACGGGTATGAAAACATCGAATTTGTCTCTGACATCAGCCTTGAAGATCTACAAGAGATTGGCATCACTAAGCTTGGTAATTCATATCTAGTTCAGTTAGTCTGGGAGTAAGGCTATAAAATGGTTTCTCTCTAAACAGCTTAGCACCTTTAGAGCTTTTTAGTTTGTGATGTGGTCCAGAAGCTTAGTTTCTGAATTTAATTTCAACGTGGGGATGATTTAAATAAAAACTGAATTTAATTTGACTGTGATATATATCATTACAGGGATAGAAGTTATGTTTATGACATTTTGATCACGTTGCACAAGCCTAATTCCTACTGGAAATATGCAAATGAAACCAAAAATGTTAGACTGCCAAGCCACCCTATAAATGTAAATAAATGTAAATAAATAGAGCTGGGTCATGGGGTCTCCGCATCCTGTTGGGCAACGCTAGGACCAATCAGAGAAACGCCATATACCATCAAAGAAAAAGAAGTGGCAAATACATCCTTTTTCCAATGAAAAGACCCAAGTCTGCTCAAGTCTGACAGAAAAGCTCAAGTCTAAATCGTCCAAAGTTGAAGCCAAAGCAGTTTCAAACAAGTGCTGTTCCTGAGCCGACGCCATCTTTGTAGTTTTTCTCCATTGCAGGTCTGGTGCTAACCCCGCTCAATGTCTCACTACAAACGTAGACGAGCCGATGATAGACCTGCAGAGCATAATCATTGCTACTGCTACAGTTTGTCTAGATTTCTAGGCTACCAACATACGAGAGAAGAGAAAACTAGCCGTTCGCTTTATGAAAAAATTTAGATGTAAATCCAGGATTATTTAAAAAATGAACGATATTCTGAAGCTTATATAAAATTATTTGTTTCCTGACCACCTACTTCCTTCACTCCCCCATTTTGTCACAGGACACCAGAAGAAGCTGATGTTGGGAGTGGCGAGACTGAGGGAGCTACAGAGAGGGGAAAGTGGGTCTGAGCCACCTCAGAGCTCTTCCTCGCCTCCTTCTAGTCCAGGAGGCAGCAGCGCCTCCTCCTCGCCACGTAGAGAGGCAAGGAGGCAGAGGGATGGTGTCCTCAGCCCCCTAGCTAGACCTAGGCCGGGTCTCACACTTTCACAGACCCCTCCCCTCACACCAACCCAGACTCCCCCGCACACGCCTCCACACGCCCGCCCCCAGCAGGCCTCTCCCAGGGCTCGACCACGACCCTCCACTAAGATGGCCACAACGGATTCATCGGTACCTCTGCTACGGCTGCCCTGTGAGGAAGAGGAGCGAAGAAGAACTCACAGTCTCATTGGCTCAGAATCAGACTCTAGATACGCCACAGTGTGCCGCAGCAGCTCCACGCATAACGCTTCCTCTAATGATGTCACCGTCAACCGAAGCCAATCATCTGTCACACTCCGTCCTCGTCGGAAAGGTCGACCCCCGACTCCACCCAAACGGTCGTGTTCTTCCATAACTGGGGGTGATGGGGAGGGGGACGGACAGGGGGAGAGGCTGTTGGGGTTACCAACCTATCGAGAGAGGCGGGCCAGTGACTGTGGCAGTCTGGGAGCATCTTTAAGAGCTCGGGACTCTGCAGGCCTTGAGCGATCAGAAGGTGCTTCAGGGAGCGTTCGCAGCCTTGCAGCCATGCTAGAAACATCCATAGTGCAAAAGAATCTGGGAAGTGGCGCCAGCTATCTCCAGGTGGGTGTGAGAAGCAGATTTACTTTTAAAATGTTGTAAAAGAGATATTTGAATAAACTTTATGATCTTCAGGTGAGTCCGCCACTTCTTCGGCGCCAGGCAGGAGCAGGAGGTCTGGGATCTGAAGAAGACGATGTTGTGAGTCGGCGTAGGACCATCGGTGGACTTGAAAGCCTCCCCGGTGATAATGCTGACCAGTTACCGCAGCAACCAGTGCAGCAACGTCCCGAGCCCCGGCCCCGTTCCACCGTGGTCTCCTCATCCTCATCTGAGATCACAGACGGCACAGCAACACTCAGAAGGAAGCCCCGCCCTCTAGCTGCGGACCCTGAAGCACAAGAGTCTCCAACAACCACAGTGGTAACCATGACGACTGGCTCTGACACCGTTCGCAGAAAACCACGCACTTCTGAGCAAACAGAATGTGTCACTCAAAGCAATAATCATTCCAATTCTCCGGATGGCAGCCGGAAGAAGAGAAAGGAGCCGCAGCAGAACGGCGGCATGGTGCTGAGGCGGAGGCCGGTGTCCGAAGTGTCAGATAGGAAAGAGGCCACCAAAGAGAGCTGTGAGTGGATGGAGGCCAGGAAGTGTCTGAAACCTCCTGTCTCACCTAAACCATCCTCCGTGAGAAAAACGCAGGCTGACCCTCCAACCCCGACGCGCAGGGTCCCCATACCTGGGTCTGACAGTAACGAGACGGCTCAGAGTCCCGGTGAGACACAAACACACATTCACACAGACACAACCTAAAATCTCTGGGAATCTGTTCATAAGTCCAGTATTCACCGGGATGCGATGCAACCTTTGCAGGGTTAATGAAAGGTCACAGACCCCACCACCCTCTGTGGCCAGAATACCGCACTTGCACCTTCAGTGTGGCAGGTCACCACCTGTTAGACTGGCTCTGCAGTCTGTTTCCAGCACGATTTCGGCACGTTTTAGATCGTGAACACCGGTGATTTGTTAAAACAATGCCGTCAATTTTGTCCACAACGCCGTGGCGGCATCAGGGAGCCTTAGGTCTTTTAAAAGTGGTCGGACCATGACAGTCATGTCGTTTTTATAAAAGGACTTCCGCTGCAACGCTCCAGTTTGCCGTTTCAGCTGACTTTGTTAAAAAAGCAAAACTTGCAGCTTATGATTACTTTTATTTTCAGTATAGTTGCCGGCTGGAGCTCCGCATTGCCTCCCTACGTCGGGGCTATTCAGTTCTGGGCCTTGAGGGCCGATATCCACCACGTTTTAGTTTTAACCCTGCTTCAGCACACCTGATTTCAATTAGCAGGTGATTAACAGGCTTCTGCAGAGCCTGATGAGCTGCTGCACAGGTGACTCAAGCACTGAATCTAGTGTGTTGGAGCAGAGAAACCAGTAAAACATTCTGGATACCGGCCCTCGAGGCCCGGAATTGAATAGCCCTGCCCTACATTATCATGACACCTCTCTCTGTTGCGCCATGGTGCAATCTCGTTTTCTAGAACAGTCAATTACTGCAATATAACTACCAAGCGAGGTGGAATGAATGCCGCAAAATTTGCGCATTACTATGCCGGGATGACACATTTATGAGACACACCGTTTCGCCGATTCGCCAGCATGGTGTGTCTGGTAAAAAAGGCTATTTATCGATGAATCGATCCAGTAGACAATAATGAAGACTGAGGAGACAATTCCGCAGTTAGATTAAGGTGTTAAAAAGACGAACGCACAGTGAGGAGATAGATTTAATTTTCGGTTTGACCCATCGACATAAATATATGGACAATGGGTTTCCATAGACTCCAATAATAAGTTTTTGTACTAAAATGGGAGGTGGCCACCACCGCCATTTTGACCGTGTCACAGGTTCCGTCAAGCCCAGACAATTCCACAAAAGGGAAGAGAGGAGGGGCTGAGGGTGGGGCCGTAAGGCTGGGATCAACTGATGACACCCGGTCGAACTAGCTACAAGCTAACCCAAAGCTAACACGGAGGTGGGAGCTAAGCTAATGGAGGTAGCAACCTAGCTATAACTGGAGTTAACTGTGCACAACACCAGAGCTTCTGAGTCAGAGATACACCGGGCTGACCGCTGGGTAAAACCGGGTGGAACACAGAGGTCTCCGAGACCTCCACAAGCCGGCAGCCCGCGCAGCAGACAAGCGCCGCTGCGATCTGAGATGCGCAGAGCTGCTGCTGGGGAGAACCGGGTGGAAAGGTTTCCATCCCAGAGCTCCACAAGCCGGCAGCCCCGCGCAGCAGACAGAAGCCGCGATCAGACAGAGATGCGCCGAGTTGCGGGGAGGGGAGAACGGGTGGAAAACATCGGTCTCCCGAGAGCTCCACAAGCCGATAGTCGGGACCCAGCTCCACCAACATGTTATATTTCAACCCATTTTCTAAAGTGCAGCATTATGTTAAATGCACTGGGTTTTACCCTATTACATTTAAATTTCATGGTTAAACAGTACATGTTAAAATCTAAGCTCAGCTCGGCAGTGACCTAAAATACATAAATATAATTTTACTTACCGAAAAAAATGAAGTGGAGACTCCTTGGACGCTCTAGTAGTGCAATTAATGCCACAGCAAGTCATTTTGTCCAACAATTGCACAAAAAATATCCAAACAAGAATACACAAACACAGAGACTCAAAATCCCGGAACAGTTTCCAGGCCAGACCGAGGCTCTACTGAGGCCTTTCCACGGAGCTAGCTCTGTGGTCACGTGGGTCTGATGCTCATTAATTATACAGAATTTAGGCTTTTAATACACTTAAACAGAAGAGTGAGAAAAACATTCACCCCCCTCAGAGTTGTCATGAGTGTAAACTAGATCATTTAAACAAAAAACATGTTCTGGTACCAGGCTGTAAACATGTTTATTTCTGCTGTGAAATTGGTATTTTTAACATGGGAGTCAATGGATTTGCTCGCTTCTGACACCAGCCCCTAGTGGATCAGGGTGGAACTGCAATCTTTGGTACTTCCGGGTTGAGAATTCTGAGCCGCATTGTGGGGGCTTGGTTTGACCACAGAGAATAAATAACGGGCACTAGGGGGTGCTAAAAGCAAGCAAAACTGCTTAGTATCCTTTTAACAAACACACATGATACCAACCAACACAAATGTGTCATCACATACATGTTAGGTAAGAGCTTCATCCTCCGCCCTACAAAACATCACATCCTGAAGTGTAAGAGTCAACGTCTGGACCCTAAACTCTACATATTTCCACATGTTTATGTGTGAAAAGGACTGTGCATTAGAGTCACTCTCTTGTTGAAGCCAATCAGAAGATTTGTAGCTAAGAGTTTTAGCATGACTCTGGTGCTTCGTAGCTCTTTTAGATCAGTGTCTTTGTGTTTGACGCTCTGAGGTTTGAGAGTGAGGCTACTCTCCTGCATCCCTGTCGGCTTGATGCTAGTAGATTAAAGGAGTAGATGTCAGGTTGTTCCTACCTATAACCCAATTGGTTTTGTTTTAATTCAATTCAAAATATTTTCTGCCATTTTCTCTGTCTAGAGCCAAAGCGCGTTCCTCCTCCAGTATCACCGAAGCCTCGCGGGCCTCCGACAGCTCCCAAACCCGGCAAAGCTGTAGCGTCTCCAGTTACCATGAGCCCGGCTGCAGCCAGTCCCACCTCGGCCCCTAAGCCTTCCTCTGTAGCCCCTCTTCCAGCTCCTGACACCCCCTCCGGCCCCTGTCTGTCTCCGGGACTCCCTCCTACTTCCCCGTCTCCAGCTCAGAGTCCCTCCACTCCGTCGCCTCACCCCGTCAAACCTCCTCGCTCCTCCATCGCTGGCCTCTCTATTGACCTCCTGGGAGGAAGAGAGGTGGAGGAGGAAGAGGAGGAGGGGAGGAGAGAGAGGAAAGCAGAACACGAGGAAGAGAGGAAGCCTTCAAGGAGGGATGGAGCGAAGGAGGAGATGGTGGGTCACGTGGAGGAAGGGGAGAAAGAGGGAGAGATTCAGAATCGTTTGGAGGAGACCAGTGCCTCCTTGGCTGCAGCTCTGCAGGCTGTAGAGCACAAAATAAAGGAGGAGGACAAGCCAAATGAGTGAGTACACATGAAGTCAGGCTAGAGAGTAGAATCAAATAGAATCCTCTACATAGGATGTCCGGGTAAATAAAACACATCACATTATCTTTTTGTTTTCGGAAATAAACAAGTCTAATATGAAATTTCAGAAATTAGGTTTGGATGAGGGGCAAAAATGTAGAAAATCATCTTTACTTCCAGGTTTCCCCCTTTACCATGACCTAAAACTAAAAAACTCAAATGAAGAGAACAGTCATTGTCCAGATGGTCTAATCGATTTTTACTTTCTTTATGAAGCTCCATGGCAGCCATGACACCTAATAAAAACATGATTTCTCATGTACTTTACTGATCTTTGTAAAACGTGATTCTCCTATAAAATGAAAACAATTGTAAAACATGAGTTTTTTTAAGTACACTAAAAAAAAGTCCAGTGAACTTAAAAAAGTAAAGCAATCAGTTGCAATACAATTTTAAGTTCAGTCAACTTTTTAGGTGCTTGCTTTGCCAAGTCTCATATTTAAGTTGGCCTAATTTATATGTGCATTTTATGCTTACTTTTAATAATAAATACAACCAAATTGAAATTTAACATTTGTAGAACCAGGAATAAAGAGTTTACTGAACTAACGATAATAAGTTTGGCAAAATTGGGATGCATAGTTCTCTAAACTTAGAATAAGTAGTTGAGTCAATGGCCAGATAAACTTAAAATAAAAAGTTGGCACAACTTTCTACTTGCAAAAATTTGACTGAACTCAAAAAGGGTTTGCAGCCAGTTGCTTTAATATTTTAAGTTGAATCAACTTTTGAATCATGATTTATATGATTATTTTGGGATTTATCATTACTTTTTGTTGATCTTTACAATTAGTCGACTGTTTCTGTTTCTGAGTTTGTCAGGTGTGTGTGTGTGTGTTTGTGTGTGTGTGTGTGTGTGTGTGTGTGTGTGTGTGTGTGTGTGTGTGTGTGTGTGTGTGTGTGTGTGTGTGTGTGTGTGTGTGTGTGTGTGTGTGTGTGTGTGTGTGTGTGTGTGTGTGTGTGTGTGTGTGTGAAAATAGTGAATGTTACCCATAAACTGAATCTTAAAGCTGCTTTCCATCAGTGGAGGAACTCACCTCCACACTTGACTCGTTGATTCTGTCAGCATGTTTATCGAAGCCTCAGTAAAAGCTAATTATTCTATTTTTCTTTTTCAAACTTTTCCAGCCAAAAAGGAACCGTCTCTATCCTGGATGACATCGGCAGCATGTTTGACGACTTGGCAGACCAATTGGATGCAATGCTCGACTGATCTCCTCCCCTCATTTGATCTCCAGCCCCCCTCCCCCTGACCCATCCCTCATGACATGTAGGTGTGTGAGAAGACGGCGCTCCCAAGACTAAATGCTGGCGCTTTGGGGAGCTCGTGTTTGAGCGTCTGGCCCTCCCATGTTAAGTGCTTCCTGAGTAGCCTTGAAGAGGGAGTCCTCTTTATCTGGTGCAGTAGCTCTGGCTCCTTCTCCTGATGCGAGGAAGCTGCTCCCACACAACCTCTGACCTCTGCAGCCCAGCGCGTTACCTCCACCCAGCCTCAGACTGCTGCGTGGACCGAGAAGCACAATAATTCATCTCTACACAAAAAGGCTGGCTTAGACAAACTTTCGGGTGCAGTCTTACGAAGAAACTAAGCACACTAATTGTCTCAAAGGCAAGTAGACGGAGAGATGAACAAACACGACACGCTCTGATGAGGATTTTTAAAAGCACACTGAAACACGGGCCGCTCTCTTTGCGTCCGTCTCTCCTCTAAAATATCAAAAGGATTCATTTTTCCAGATGCGTCGTAGCCTCCGTTTCTCCTCTGTACGAGTGGAGGCCAGTGGTTCGCTGGACTTCCTGACCCGCGTGTCGTCTCTTCTCACGTTGTTGTTGGTGCTCTTGCTGTTATTGTTGGCGTTGTTGTTTCGAGCGTGTGCGTAGTCCCTGCTTTTTGCTCATGTCAGTGTCCTCCTGCTCGTACAGTACGTAGTTACGCTAAGGATCAGACCAGCTATGAATTCTTAAGACACTTGCACATAAATCAGATCGCCGGTGTTCATCTCTACCCATGAAGGTTTTATGCTTGATAATAATAAGAGACCAACACTGACTAAAAGCACACGTGAGGCACAACAGTGATTTCAAAAATATATTTCTTTACATTTCAAGGCTTTAAATAGCCCATCCAATCAACATTCACACATAGGTTTAAAACAGGCGCTCCTAAAGCGCCCTCTAGTGTTTGGTTAGTAAAATTGCCTTTAATGAATTTAACCTCCTTCTCGTCTTCCTCTTTTATCACCATTATTTCTAAATCTGGTGTTTATTCTGCAAATCTCCGTGCCTTCGTATTTATCTATTCCTTTTGTTTAACAGCTTCATGATTTCTTTGACAACGCCCCTTTGTGTCAGTGATGTTCAAGTGATTTAGCCCTAAAAGTCAACCCCCAAATGTCTGCAACCCTCTGTAACTACTGCAAAGCCTTGTATGAGCTAATATAAATATATAAAATAACAAAAAATCTGGTAAGCTGTAATAAGTTGGCTTCACTCCTCCCGACGCCCCCAGGTTTCAGTGTTTTCCCTTCATGTAAGCCAGACGGTGGATCAGCCACCAGTTTTCATCCTAGTGAAAAGTCCACTTGTATTTTTATGCTCTTTAAAACAAAGATATATTTGAAAGACAGATAGTTCTATGTGAATAATAATAACTAGGATGATGATCAAGAGGAATCTAAATGTTGAGTTGAAATGATCTGAGCCTGTACATTTCTGTTGGAGTTCTGGATGTGTTGTGACGGCTGTTGTTCCACGGTCAGGTTTAGGTTGCGTTTCTGCTGTGACGATACATTCCTGTACAGTTGTGATCAGAATAAATGTATAAATTAAACCTCTCTTTGCCTTTTTAATGCTTCATGTACGGCAATGTGCATTTTGTCTTGGGGCTGACTGGAGAACTGTAAAGGACTTCCTGCTACAAAAGCACATGTCAAATGGGACGTGTTACGACTATATTTTTAAAGTTAGAACAATTTTGTGGTCTATACAAAACAGGAAAATGAAGATTTTTGCACAAAACCCCTTTAAACAATCTCACCAGCTCTTTGACATTTTCAGTACCTTTCAGAATGAGTCGTTTCATTGGGGCTGTTAACGTTGCTGCTGGACACGCCCACCCATCCCCTGATTGGCTCAGCTTTTATCACAGTAAAAACTGAGAATTACTTATCACATTTCTGCTTTGTCTGCCAACAGCGTTATAGTTAAATCACTGTGTCACATCCAAATGATTCAAATCCAGAAAAGACTTTGGGTGTGTCCTTAATGCACCCATATATTTATTCACTTACAGAATAAAGCTTCTTGAGATAAAAGATCCTCCTACTAAAGCTAAGTAGTTGAGAGAATTGAGAACAAAATGAAAACAATGTATAAATAGAAACAAAAACTTGTCAAACCAAGTGTCATGTTAGGGGGGAAGGTGTCTGACCCACCACATGCAGAATCATTCACAGAGTCTGAGGCCCTGTCCACACGTAGCCGGGTTTTTTTAAAACGAATATCCGCCCCTCCAAAAACTTGCATCCACACGACCTCGTTTTTTAAAAAAAACTCTGTCCACACGTACCCGGATAAATACGTTGTTAAGGACATGCCAGACCTGTAGGCGGCAGTACTTCCCCTGTTCTTAACCTCGTCCTTCATCTGTGGTCTTCCGCAAGGAGCAGTAATTCCTCTTGCAAAAACAAACAAGCAAAAAGCGCTTGGACAACTGATAAAGCGAGCGCAGCTCTGAGGGCATCCATGCTGTCGGCTAGTGTAAACACAGGTCGCACACGTGATGCCAGCATTTTTCTGTCGCGGAAAGTGACGTTGCGGACCTTAAAACTCCGGTTTTGTCTGTCCACACGCAGACACCCAAAACGGAGAAAACGCAGATCTTCACTTTGGCCGGAGTTTTTAAAAAGATCCGTTTTCGTGTGTGAAAAAAACTCCGTTTTCGTGTGGATGACAGGCCAAAACGTAGAAAAATATCTACGTTTTGGCAGATCCCCGGCTACGTGTGGACAGTCACAGGGCCTAAGTATGGTAAAAAAGGTTTATAAAACGTGAACTAAAAGCGCAGCAGGAAAATCCAGCTGGGGCTCCGGGGGGGTGGGGGGGGTGGGGGGGTATCTAGAGACGGGGGAAGAGTTAGCGGATGTTGACGATCCGGACAAATGAGGTACAGGTCGAGACTTACAGGTTGTGATCCAGGGGAAACCAGAGAAGGGAGGGAGGCTTGGTCTGGGGGGTAGTCCGTGAGGAGTGGGAGACAGACACACACACTTGCTGGATCACAGGAGACTGGGTTTCCAGGTTGCTGGAGGACTGGAGGAGCTGAGCACGGAATAGGGAGCAGGATCCGGTAAGGTAAGGTCAGTATGGAGTGGACAGCCAGGGAGCGGCTGGGAGACAGCGGGACTGGTCCGGTAGGTTGCAGGACGGTGTGAAAGGTGGTGGTGGAAATCTGGAGAAGAGGCAGCTTACAAAAATCAGGCAGGCTTGGAAAAACACACAGGAACTAGCAATCTGGCTAGAAGTACGACTTGGACGATATATATTTGGATTACTCAGTAATCAGGCTCGGGAGCGGTAGATACCAAAGTTGAGTTAATCCTCCAGCGAATAAAGATGTCTCCCAGTGGGAACAAACCTGCTTTCAGATGGGCTGACTCATACCACGCTGTACAGAGCTGTTTTAGGCTGAGTAGTGCTCCTGGGAAACCACCTTCAGTGTCTACATGAGTGATTCATCACTAAATTGAACAAATCAGCTGCGTTCATTATTTAAAACATGCAGAAAATGTGCTGGAAGCAGACTGCAGCTCCAGGTATGTCAGCTCAATATTTGTTTAAGTCCAAACAGAGCGAACTGCCAGTCTGGAGTAGAAAGTAGAACATTCTAGCCAAAGGGGTGCGATATGTGCTGGGTGGCTGTTCATTAACCCTCTAAAACAGAAGTATTCGATTCCGGTCCTGGAGGGCCGGTATCCAGCAAGTTTTAGTGGTTTCTCTGCTCCAATATGCTTGATTCAGTGGTTTAATCACCTGTGCAGCAGTTCAGGCTCTGCAGAAGCTTAACGCCGTAAATTTCCAGCGCAATGGGGTTTTGTCCCTCGGGCGGGACGCTGGAATGCTAAGGAGTTAATCACCTGCTGGTTGAAATCAGGTGTGTCGAAACGGAGTTAAACCTAAAACGTGCTTGATACCGGCCCTCCAGGCTGGGAACTTCATACCACTGCTGTTAACGGCCATTTTAGCACACACTGGCTCAAGAAAATTTTAAAATATGAAAAAATTTCATATCATGGCTTTAAAATGTGTGTAGGACTCCGACATAGGGTTCAGATGTTTTGCTGTAACTGTAAACACAATTTTCTGTAATTATTGAATATGAAGTTGATTAAAATACAGCTAATCACGACGTACTAGCGGCATGAGCTGCCCTGTAAGACATCTTTTTAGTGACGTATGACAGCTCTTCACTGTTTAGAGGAATTTAGATTTTTATGATGATTTATGACAAAATTCCTTAAAATTAATAACTGAACCTAGTTTATCTTGATGTAGATGGTAAAGTGTAGTGAAACAGCGTTAGTCTCAGTCGGCATAAGCAGCAGGGCCCTGCAGGGAATCGAACCCCGTCTCATTACTGAGAGTTCCGTTACCAGAGCCTTTTGCTTTGGGCGACCGGAGACGGTAAAGCAAAACCTGCATCAACAAAGCATTTAATGTTGGAACATAAATTCTGTCTTGAAGCAGGAAAAAAGAAACCGTCAGAATAAATAATTATTTCTAATTATATTCATTTTAGTATTTTATAAACGTTTTACAAATTTAGAGCCTCCTTTGACTTTTATGCTTTTCGTTAACTTCTCGTTCTTTTACGATGTTTATCCGTTTTTTTTAGTCGCGGTCAAACGCATCGTAATTTTGTTCTGCGGTGAATCTTAAAGTTATGTTGAATGTAAATAATCTGAGTCTTTATTGCTTTAATTTAACAGCACAGTAACTTGTTAAAATATTCAAGTTAATTTGAATCATTTACATGTTTAGACTATATTTTATTAGCCTTTAATATTTTAGTATTTATTGTTTAACCTTTGTAAAGAGCTATGTCATGTTGTGGTGAAGAAAACTAACCCACGACATACAGAATCAGATCGGAGACGGTTTTAAAAGGTTAAAATAAGGATTTATTGAAGGGAAACCAAGGGAGCAGCGTAACGAAGCTGAGTTCTTGTCCAGGGAGGCTGGTGCGGGAAAACTGTGGACAGATCGGAGTTAGATCCAATTTGCGGAAGGATCAGGAAATCAGACTCGTGCAGAGGACTTACGGTCTGGAGAGGTGGGAACTGGTTTGAGGGAGGAGTGGTCCGGTCTGGGTAGCAGGGACTGAGATCCAGGAGTGAGACGTGGAGGAAGCTGAGCTTGGGAAGGTCCAGGAGGGTTAGGTGGGCGGCTGGAGGTGGTTCTGGCCAGGGGAGAGGCTGAGAGACGAGCGGGGTTGGAGCTTCAGATGATGCGGGCTCCAGAGTTCTGCCAGTCGAAGATGAGTGTGGAGGTTTTGTCCAGGTAGAGTAATCATCCAGCAAAGTGTAGGAATCTCCCAGCTGCTTAAATACCCCTGGCCAGCTGATGAGCAGATCTGCTGCAGCTTGGTCACCTCCAGACACGCCCACCTGCAGAGGGAAACTCAAAAGACAGGGAGTGACAGCAGGGAAATACCTCAGACCGTGACAGTACCCCCCCCCTCAAGGGACGCCACCCGGCGGCCGAGCAGAGGAGGAGGAGGAGGAGGAGGAGGAGGAGGAGCGGGCCAACTCGAAATCCCGGATGAGAGAGGAGTCATCGATCCATGACCGCGGGACCCACTGTCGATGTTCCGGGCCATAACCCTCCCACTCGACCAGGTACTGGAAACCCCGGCCACGAGGTCGCACATCCAGAAGGCGCTGGACACGGTAACCGAGGCCCCCGTCAGCGAGACGCACAGGAGGCGGAGGGTCGACAGGAGGGCACAGGGAACTGGAGATGACAGGCTTAAGAAGGGAGACATGAAAAACGGGGTGTATCTTCATGTGGGACGGCAGATCCAAGCGGACGGAGGACGGGTTGATGACAGCTGAAATCGTGTAGGGACCGATGAATGTGGGGGAAAGTTTCTTGCAGTGGTCCTTCAATCTGATGTCCCTGGTGGAGAGCCAGACGCGCTGTCCAGGCGCATAGTCTGGGGCAGGACGCCGGTGCCGGTCGGCCAGACGCCGGTTGCGTTCTGCAGTCCTCTGTAGGGCCTGTTGCGTGGCCGCCCAAACCCGCCGGGCCCCCTTCAGGAACTGAGGAACGGAGGAAACTGTGGAGGGAAATTCAGAAGGGAACAAACTGGGTTGAATACCTGTCGAGGCCTCGAAGGGGGATAGTCCAGTGGCGGAGGAGACATGGGCGTTATGGGCGTACTCGATCCAAGGAAGGTGGGTACTCCAACTGGAAGGGCTAGAAGAACACAGACAGCGGAGCATGGCTTCTACCTCCTGATTTAGCCTCTCGCATTGGCCATTTGACTGCGGATGAAAACCAGATGTTAGCGCCACCTTAGCTCCTAAGCAGGTGGCGAAGTCCCTCCACACCCTTGAGATAAACTGAGGGCCGCGGTCAGAAAGTATCTCCGCAGGGATGCCATGGAGCCTAAAAACATGCTTAACAAGCAGAGTGGCGGTGTCAGCAGCAGAGGGTAGAGCCTTTAGCGGCACTAGGTGGCAAGCCTTGGAAAAACGATCGATAATGGTCAAAATAACAGTAAAGCCTCGAGAAGGGGGAAGACCGGTGACAAAGTCTAGTGCAATGTGG